GATGTTGTCACGTTTTTCAGGCCGAAACAGTGCATCACAGACCCATTTCTAGTATATCGTTGAATTTGTCTTTTAAAGGGCTATCCAAAAACTAGGAGGTCCCATTTGAAAAAATTGAAAAATTTAACATTTTGCAAAACGTGGCAACACCGCATGCAAAAAAAAGTTTAAAAAGTTTATGAGTAACGCAATAAAGATTGTTAAAAATTACGCCAAATCCTGAAGATAGTCGCTAATAAGTTCGAAATGGTATATCACAGACACATGACCAGTATACCGTTAAATTTGTCTTTCAAAGAGCTATTTAAAAATGTATCGAAATATAGGGTGTTCCATTTAAAAAAATGAAATTTCATTTGTTCACCCTGTATATAGTAGAGTGACACCAAAAAAAATACAAAAAAGTTGTAGATAATTTTATTAGAAAAAACTTTTGCATTTACATTTTTTTCACAGCCCTTGTAGATTTCGAGATAAGGTATAGGCCCCTCTTAAACGGGCCACCCTGTACAGCATTCATACAAAAAAAATATGGTCACCCTACTGTAGGTATAGCTGGATGAGCTCGTTTTACAACAGAAAACAACGGGTGTCTCACTTTTTATGCTCGCGACAGTACAAGATGGCGCGGCGGCATAAATAACAAACTTGACGTCGTCGTCCAAGAAGACCTGACGTTTAAACAGCCTACGTCAAGGGGAGAAACGCCATGCTGCTTACGTTCCTAGTTCCTACTGGTTGTTTGTGCGGTGGGGGGTAGGGGGGGATTTGTTACACACAGGCCTTATGAGGATAGGCCATCCTGTAATCAGTTGCGGCTCGTCAGAGGAGGCGGGAGCCTCACCATAATGCAAATCTTTACAAGACACTCCAGGGGCCTTATTCTGTAAGGAACGAACCGTTCGATTCGGTAGAATTTCTTCGATTGAGACGTCATTTTCGGTTTGGTAGCGCGAAAACCAAACCAAAGATGACGTCACAATCGAAGAAATTCTACCGAATCAAACGGTTCGTTCTTACAGAATAAGGCCCCAGGACTGGGATCACGATGAGTAGAATTCTACTTTCATAACGTCATCCACGACCTATTTATCGTGTACAGTACAGGCGATGATGATGGTTGCTAAGCAATCTGACGTCAGACGTCACGAAAGTAGAATTCTAGTAGAATTCTACTTATCTTGATTCCAGCTCTGATGTGTCATCAAGTTACCCATCCCATTACCAGGTAGCCTATTACTTTAGGAACCTTGTGTCTGGAATGAAAAGAGAAACGATATAGAAATTCAATGGGTTGAAGACAGACGGCGATAAAAGGATAATATAGAGTTGGATCATAGTCGGCGCTTAAGTGGACTTTTAGGTAGATTTATTTGTATCTGTCCTATTAAGAGCCTGGAGAAATACAGTAAGAAACAGCAATATATGAAATTAAATAAGTAAGACAGAAATGGAAAATAACATATTATTTTGTGTATTTCTGGAGATCCAGTGGCCTTGTAGTTTTTGTGTTTGAAATTAAAAGAGAAAGATACTCGAAAGATATACAATCAGTAAGAGAAAGATGAAGATAACATAGGAATAAAATATATTTTGTTTCTTTTTTTCTAACGGTCTTGTAATTTTTGTGTCTGGACAATGAGAACCTGAAATAAGTGAGAAAGAGAAACGATATGGAAATTCAATAAGTTAGAAAGAAAAAGACTTGAATTGAATCAGATTGATTTAATCTGGTCAATCGAATGTTGCTTAGGCATTCCAACGAGCTGTAAAAACTATTCAAATATGGCGTCAGTGGGCGGAAGTTCATTATCCGGTATGAAAGTATACATACAGACTTTAAAGCTTTTGTATGGTTGTTTTGTGACTGAGCCCAATTTGTTTTTCATATTATTAATCTAAGTGTTTTTTTAATTAAAAATGCCATGTAGATGTTTTGTTGTTGATTGTTTGCCCACAGACGCTATATTGGATCAGCAGATTCATATTTTTTCTCTTGAATTTATGTCAATTTTGACAAATCCAAGAGCCAGGCATAAACAAAAATTGAACAGGAAAAATCGAGAAATAAAGAAAAGAAATTCAGAAAAAATTGGTACTATAGGTGTTTGTTTATAACTGGAACACTTAGTAGCTTACTTATATTATTGAAAATAAAGGGCATGTTTAAGCTGGAAAATTTCTTGGTGAATTGCAACCTCAAGCACTACAACGATATTTTTTTGTCGTCATAGGTTTACAGGGTGCGCCAAAAAGGTTTTTTTTTTAATCCAAATAATATATGATATGCCTGTGAAGCTAATTTTCTAAGAATTTCAGAAATGCGAAAATATACAGGGCGTTCCATTTGAAAAAATGACTTTTTTGGCGCACCCTGTATACCTATGGCGACAAAAAAATCTCGTTGTAGCGATTAAGATCGTTGCAAAACCGGCACGTTGGCGCTTTGATAAAGGACGACAGGACGCCCTACTCAAAGCTAAGCAACGTGGTGTCGGGATGGAGATTGGATGGGTGACCGCAGTAGTACGGCCCGCGCTGCCGCCAATCATCTAATCTGCAAGTATGAATGGGAAGGAGTAGAGTCCATACAATGAGATACAAAAAGCCTTTAAGGCTGCAGTGTTGAGGATGGGCTCGAAACGGTGAAAACAAACAACAACAACAAGATCGTTGCAATTTACCAAGAAATTTTCCAATTTAAAAATGCCCTTTATTCTCAATAATAAAAAAGTTATTGAGTGTTCCAGTTATAAACAAACAGCCTGTACAGGGTATTTGATTATATTTGGCACCATACCTACAGCCTTTACTATTTAAGATAGAAAAAAATTGTAAATACAAAACTTGACAGTTTTTTTCTATATTTTCTTTTACCGTTATCAGAAAAAAAAAATCGCATCGGAAAATGGAGAAACGTAGACAACTTCGACTTTTTTAAATGGAACACCCGGTATATTTTGCGATAAAATGAAAGACCTTTTCTTCCTGATTACAAATATATATATGTTGATCACATTTGCATAAGCCATTTTTGACATATCTCAGCTTAAATTATAACTAAATTGCAAAGAAATTTTATAAAGATAGAGATCCTTATGGAACTTTTCTGCAAATTCTTTATAATTTAACCTGAGATACCTCTATGTCAAAAATTGCTCAAGCAAATGTTATCAATATATATATATTTGGAATCAGAAAGAATAGATCTTTCATTTTATCGCATAATATACAGGGTGGTCCATTAAAAAAATCAAAGTTGCTTACGTTTCTCCATTTTCCGATGCGATTTTGTTTTTTCTGATAACGTTTTCAGAAAATACAGAAAAAAACTGTCAAGTTTTGTATTTAAATTTTTTTTCTATCCTAAATAGTAAAGGCTGTAGGTATGGTGCCAAATATAATCAAATACCCTGTACACAAAAACCGATTTTTTTGGATAAATGTAGTTTATTAATAGTTCGTCTTATGACGTCATGAGTTTGGGTTAGAAACTGTTTCCGGCGAACAACGTTCAATATGACGTCATAAGTTTCTAGCGAAAGCGTTTGTGTTCATGAAATCATGGAAATAGTTCGGTTAAAGTTTATTCAAAATTACACACTGCCATTGGTGAAAACATTGTTGCCGTTTTATAGGTCTATCTTATCTCTTCTTCATATAATAGGATTTATTGTAAGGCTTGGCCGATTTTTGAGTAAAAGCCGGCAACAGTGTGTAAGTTTAATTTACAAACCGGTTGACAACACTGATTTGAGTTTAAATTTGCTGCCATGTTGCTTTTCAAAACGAATGTTTGCCAAGAGGATTTTGTTTGAAAAATATCTCGTACGCCTATGGATGGTAAAACTCCACCCATTTAGACGCCTTTTATGGGTCCCAAATGGACGAGGTTAATTGCGAATAAACAAAGGGGTGGAGTCATACAATCCATAGGCGTATCTTTTTTGGTTAATCATTGGGGGAATAGACAAAATTTTAGATGGAAAAGCTGAGAATTAACTAGAAAAAATAAGAGATAAGAGGACCAGAATCGCCACTCAGTACCTATTTCTCATTGGTTGTCAGCCATTTGTAGGCTGTCGGCCATTTTGTATTACATTACAACCAATGAAAGGTCCGGAGAAAAAGTCTAATCGAGCTGTAGGAAAGAACCAGCTCTTATTGGCCTACAGAGGAGCCTAATGGAGGGATCCTTCCCTGATTGGCCAGAGAAAAGAAGAGGGGGGCTGGTCTGAAGCGACAAAAAGTGTACTTCAATGTTTTTTCCCTTCCATGCATTTGAATTTCCTTCATTGACAATTTCAAGAGCTGGGAATAAACAAAAAATTACATTTGACATAAATATTATTAGTACACTGTTGTCATGTTGTACCTAATTTCTAAACTTTTTTTTTTCAGTGGCTACCTTACCGTAATTCGTAATTTATTATTTTTTAGCCTCCTCACTTGAAATAGTCACGAGCCGCCACTGCCTGTAGTAATGGTATGTATCATTCATGGTCGACGTCCACCTTTCCCCCCCAACCTCGCTTAATCACCAGTTGGGACGTAGGCAGCCGATAAGCACTTCTTTAGAGTGTGTATTTTCCTTGATTCGAATCGCCTAATGAGCACGTACACTTTGCATCTGCAAATACGCAGTTCTGCAAATATGGCTGACTTGCATATGGTTTTCCGTTATATTTATCGAAAAAACTGTTTGGACGCTACTGACTTACCAGTTTTAAATGTCAAAGTGATTGCAAGAACTTTCGGGACTGTTTCACTATGCGCAAATTTGCAGGCGACTTGCAAATGCATTCTGCTTCCGTATAAATACGAAAAGTCAGACTTGCAGATCCTGCATTTGTATCTTGGTGTTGCAAAACTTCTGGGCTATATCGATATTTTGAAAATATCGATAAACGAAACCCATTTTTGCAACGTTGCCACATTGCCACCGAAATCCTCACCCTTGCCATTTGCCAAACGTCAAAACAATCAGACAGAAAGTAGTGTTTAAAAATGGACGATTTTTGTATGTTCTTATTTGTATTTACGTCGCGTAGTTGTACAGTCGTCGAAAATATTCCCGGGGTGAAAAATGAGCGAACGAAACGAGAAAATCCTAGTGGAACTGATGAAATTTTCCGGTAACAATGTTTGTGCCGATTGCGACTCGAAAAGTAAGAGAATTTCAATTATATTTTTATAGAAAAATTGTTTGTTTGGGTTTTGTATTATTGCCCTGTGGCCACCCATGCTGGTTTGTTGTTTGTAAATAAAAAGTTATTTTGATTTGAAAATAATGAAAATGTTGATTATTTGTTTATTTTTAAAAGGGCAATAGGATTTTGTAGTAATTTTTATATCGTTTTTTCAAAATTAGAAATATTTCAATAAGTATTTCATGTTTTAGGGTTATAATACCAATCTATAGTTCAAAAAGCAAAAAATTCCGTGTTTTCTTCTTTCCACTAATTGAATAATTACGAAACTGACTTAAACTGGCTTTAATTAGTGTAAAACTGCTTTAAAATTGTCTGAATCCTGAGCTAAACTAAGTACTCAGCAATGTACTTAAATTAAGTATTAAATTTAAAGTATTCAGTGTACATTGAATGTATTTTAAGTATCCAGTGTACTTAAGTACTTTTGAAAACTATTTTTTAAATAGTACTTGCCAATTTTAAGTACCAGTACAAGTTCGTTTTTATAAGTTATATTCTACTTATAAAAGAACTTAAGTAAAATACTTAAAGTATCATTCAGTATACTTCAGCTCTGCTTGAATAAGTCAAATTGGGTAATGATTTATTTTCATAAATATTTTATATGACGTTTAGTATAATATTATTGGGACTTGGGAAGATTTGATATAATGTATTCCAAAGGAGTTACAACATTTATTTGAAGAGAACTTTTTAATTATGTGACACACTGTCAATCTATTTTGACAAAAAATATTTATTTATTTATTTATTTATTCAATATCCTCTACATCTTGCATTTACAGAGAATGTCTAAAACTACCCAACAACCCTAACATCCTAATCTACTTTGTACCTCCTTCTTAAATAAATTTATTTTACTTTGATAAATATTACAATTTGTTTCATTGATTATATCACACATTCTTACTATAGGTGAGGTAAAACTGCCTATTTGTTCTTGGTGTATCATAAGTCATCTGTGACTGTCTTAGTTCTCAAATCTGGTACTCTTATATTTATCAGGCTCAACCACTGGTTCAACAGATATTCATCTTCCACACAGAGCTGGGCAGTAGCTAGCTACCAAGTAGTTTAGCTACTAACTTAGCTATTTTTTTGGTAGCTAATAACTTATTCAAGCTACTTTGAAAAAAAAGTAGCTTGTAGCTGTAGCTTTTAGTAATGTGTTCCATATATTCATAAGCTACTGTGAAAAGTAGCTAGCTACTAAAACAAGCTACTTAAGCTACTTTTGGTAAATAGTTAATAGTTATTTAGGTATTAATGGCGGAAAGCATCATTTACCGTCCAAGAGTGTGGTTAACGACACTTAACGCCCAAAATACTTATTACGTTTTATGCACAGCGGACTCTTCTAGTTCAAAAATGAAATAACTATACCTATAATATAATGGCATCCATTTGAATTGTTTTCAAAAATAAACAGTCTTCCCCTTTATATAAAGACACGTTAACACTGAAAAATTAGCAACTTCTATATTTGTAAATCTTTCAAAAATCAACAACTTTTATATTTTCCATGATTATCCACACCGATTTTGGTAATAATAGGTATAGTTCTTGGGTAATTATAATAAATAATTCTAGCTGATTTATTTTCTAAAAGAGACGCTCAGATCAACTTGTGGTAAGTTGAATTTACCACTCGATAAAAGTAACTTTATACTTTAGTTGCTCAAGATACAATTATCATTTTCCGGAAAAATCTTATCCTGCCTTGCTTAGACTAATTTCTACTTATCTCTGTAGGTACCTATGTTTTATGTGTCTTGTTTGATTCTCACATTCGCAGATCACTGTGATCAAAGTGAACCTAATAAATTAATGTCCAGTGGTTTTTGACAAAAATATGAATACTACTTCCTACAGAAAGTTAAAATTTTATTTTGGTATGATGATATTATGAAATTAAATTAGGTAAGGTATGTACAGGGTGGCCCATTTTCGATGTTTTAATAGGCTATATCGAAAACCAGCAAAGATATCAAAAATCTGAGAGCACATTCTCGAGCTCTTTTTTTGAAGAAATAACAATGGCGAAGACAAATCACAGCTAACTCGATGCGTTTAGGAAATATAGGGCAAAATTTTGCACAATTTTAGAAGACCTAATTTCTTTATTAATCCAGATATCCAAAAACGAAAAATACATTCTATAGGCAGTTTTTCAAGGAGAATTCAGTGGCATAACCAATTTTTCTCCAAATGCCTCTGATTTTGGAATATTGACCAAAGTTGTGTTTTTTTAAATGGGATATTCCATATATTATTTTTTTATTAAATAGCTTTGTGAGCTGATTTCAATGATATAAGGTTTTATACCTTTAACTTCTATAGTTTTAGAGGAAAAAAAATTAATTCTGTTTTTCCATAAGAAACAATGAGCTAGAGAGAGATAAGTCATTAAATAAATTATGTGTTGCCTATTTATCAACCCCGATTCATAGTACAAATTAAAAAAAAAAAATAGCTGAACTGAAAAATTAAATTAAGAATTGAGAAAGGACCCCGCAATATTTAAATGGAAATTGGTTACCCGTGATATTTGGATGAAATTTAAATATGTTATTGGGGATGCCGTAAGCAATATTTTTTACCATGGGCACAACCCTGTATGGTGAGGCGTGATTAGCTGTCAAATATTGGAATCTTATATCCAAAAGCAGAGTAACTATGACAGATTTTGATGAACAAAAAATCTATTTCTACTTAGACGACCAAGTTAAGTCGAAAAATGTCAACCATTTTGACACCTGTCAAAACCCTGCCAAACGGCAGCACTCATCTTTCCCAGTTTTCAATATTTTATTATGTCATTAGACATTTTTAACTTGTATGTAAATTCTGAATTCAAAAATTGAAAAAATAAATGACAGAACTGTCAAAACCTGTCATTTGTTTTAGTAGAAAAAAATACTCTAATCTGGTTCTTTCTTGTTTTAAGGTAGTTTATTGGTGATAAAACATTGAACAAAGTTCATGCACGTCACATTTTGACAGCTGTCAGAATCTGTCAATAGCTTTAATTCAAAAAAGAATCAAATCTAGTTCTTTTTGAATTTAAGTCAGGCTTATTTATGATAACGCATAAAAAAAACATTATACGCAGGTTTCAGATTTTGACAGAGATGTCAATTTTCATTTTAAAGTATGTAGTTTTAGTATAAAGGATTTTATTTTATTAGTCATTATAGTACAGTCATTATAATACTTAGTACTATAATGAAATCATTAAAGTACTCAAACATTTTGACACCTACAAATGAAATCCACAATGATGTCATTTTTTTCAAATTTTGAATTCAGAATTTACATATAAGTTAAAAATGTCAAATGAAATCATAAAATATTGAAAACTGAAAAAGATGAGTGCTGCCATTTGGCAGGGTTTTGATAGGTGTCAAAATGGTTGACATTTTTCGACTTAACTTGGTCGACTTAGTAGAAATAGATTTTTTCTTCATCAAAATCTGCCATAGTTACTCTGTTTTTGGATATAAAATCCCAATATTTGACAGACAATCACGCCCCGCCTTTCATATATACAGGATTGTGCCCATGGTAAAAAATGTTGCTTACGGCATCCCCAATAACATATTTAAATTTCATCCAAATATCACTGTAACCAATCTCTGAGCCAATCTCCATTTAAATATTGCGGGGTCCTTTGTAGCCAATTCATAGTTCAACTATCTCTTTCTAACTCATTGTTTCTTATGGAAAAAACGGAATTTATTTTTTTTCTCTAAAACTATAGAAGGTAAAGGTATAAAACCTTGTATCAAACAATTATATAACGAAAATATTTTTAATATTCAGCAACTGTATATTTTGTCAACTTGCGTTTACATGTACAAAAATAATAAATCAAAATTACTTATAGCTCATAAGCATAATACACATAATAAAACGAATAAAAACGTAACTATACAAAAGAGCCAAAAGACATTGAGTCTTAAGTTTCTACAAAACTGTGCTTCAAAATTCTACAACCTATTGCCATTGAAAATTAAGGATATACCTAGCCTTAAAGAATTCAAAAAAAGTTGTAAAGAATATATATTTAAGAATTACAAAAGTTTTCAAAATCAGTGTATTTAGGGATAGCTATAAGATGTTTCACCTACAGTCTACAAAATCTTTAAACTGTTTAAACCTGCCCTTATCTCTAATGAATTAGGGTACTGCTAGGCCAAAATTTTATACATGATACCTCATTCATTATCATTATCAACTACTTATACCTACCATTAAACGTGGCACATGCAGGCATTCTCATGCCTAGGTGCCATAATAAAAAAATATTAGATTATAGAAATATTACTGTGAATTGTACTGTTGTTATGTATGCTGAAATATTGAATAAATTATTATTATCATTGAAATCAGCTTACAAAGAGCTATTCAATAAAAAAATAATATACGGGGTGTCCCATTTAAAAAAACAAAACTTTGGTCAATATTCCAAAATCGGAGGCATCTGGAGAAAAATTGGTTATGCCACTGGATTCTCCTTGAAAAACTGCCTATAGAATGTATTTTTCGTTTTTGGATATCTTGATTAATAAAGAAATTAGAAGGTCTTCTAAAATTGTGCAAAATTTGAAAAGTGCCCTGTATTTCCTAAACGCATCAAGTTAGCCGTGATTTATCTTCGCCATTTTTATTTCCTCAAATAAAGAGCTCCAGAATGTGCTCTCAGATTTTTGATATCTCTGCTGGTTTTCGATATAGCCTATTAAAACATCGAAAATGGGCCACCCTGTACAGTCTGTCCACTTAAGTTCGCAGCATATGGGAAACTTTTTTATTATCAATTTTACGAAAAAAAGTTATTCCTTGTAAAAGTTTCTGCCTATACAGGATGTTTCCTAAATACGGTTCGTAACTTTAGGATGTGATTCCTTACAATATTTTTTTAAAAAAGTTCCCATGAACATGTGTCCGGAAAT